CCCAAAACTCGATCCAATAAGCCCTCAACTTAGTTCTTTTGCGCCATAAGACTCTCTTAGTGGGCCTTATTGGGCCGTAAACAACCTTCTTGACCTTATTGGGCCCAAATGGGCCGATAACCCCTCCTTTAGGGCCCAATGGGCCGAAAATTATTATTAAGCTCCATAAATTCGAGCAAGCCAAGAAAAAGGAGCCCAAAACCATTTCATCTCCATCCTTAAGCCCAATTCTCGGCCCATTTAGTTAATTAAACAAAAAAAAAAGAGAAAATAAGGGATTTTATGCATATGACACCTCCATATTATACATCATATATCAATGTATTTACACACCATACATCTAAGCACACTTGTATTAACCAACATGCATTACACATTAATTTCTCTCCCCCTCCTCCTTAAATTCGTCCAAACCACCCCAACCCTCCCCATTTTCACCTCATTCTTCCCTTCAAACAACACAAGAACTCTCTCATATCCCTCTCTAGAACACAAAGAAGTTCTTCCTTTTCTCATCTAAAAATCGTGACTTTGGTGGGTTATTTCAAGAGCTTTGCATCAAGTATTATCATCTTGGTAAGTTTACTTCACACTTAGTTGTGTAACTCCATTTTATGCTAAGATCTTACCTTAAAATCCACTTTATTTTCGGGTTTATGCTCTTAGAAACACCAAAACAACACAAATTTTATCAAGAACTCAAGCTAGGTTCAAAGATTCTTCTTCTTCTTCATCTACATCTCAAAAACCCCCAAGGTGAGTTCATACCCCCTTGTTTTCGATTTTATAATGTTTTTGGGGGAGAATACAAGTGCTTTTGTGTTAGATCTATGTATATATGCATGTTTATGTGTTTAACTTTTAGATCTTTACTTGAAAATGAAGTTTATCACTTGGATCTTCATATAAACCTTGAGAAAAGTATGTGTCCTCACATATAATACTTGTAAACTTGTTGATCTGGTATTTATCCACTTAAAATAGCAAAAACAAGTGTTGTGAACAAACTTAGATAACTTAAACTAAAAAATCAGTCCTTGACAGAAAAGTTTTAGTCCAATCTCGAACTGTTTTAACCTCTTTAATGGTGATATTTTTCAAAACTGTTTTATATGCAAAAAGTTCAGGTTATTACCTTTAAAATGACTACTCTCACGTTTTCATACGATTTTTCTACTATTTTTGGCGAATTTTACAAAACTGCCTATCAGATTTGAAATAATTTCGGACCAACCTGTGAAGGTGAGCAATTTCACACTTGTTAGAGGCCAATAAAAATTATGAGAAAAATTGTGAACAAAGTAGACAAAATTTCCAAACTTCCAGAATTTACGGATCCAAATTTCGACTTACGATGATTTTTCTACAAATTTTCCAACAACTAGGTCAGAAAAGCCAAAAACCAGAAAAATGTGTATTTCACAAAAATCAAGCCAAAAGTGATATTTTTGACAAAAATGAGTTTAAAATGTTATTTTTTACCACAAACTAGTCAAAAACACAAGTTTTGAACAAAATGGGGGCTAAAGTGTTATTTTTACTATAATTGGGCCTTAATTGAAAATTTTGTGGCTTATTGGGCCAATAACGTCATTTTTACAAAAAAAGTAGGCTTTTTATATCAATTTTGTAAATAATCGAGCTAAAATAAACAAAACAATAACAAACGGGTTAAAATGATATTCTTATCCTTATTGGGTCTGGAAATAATATACATGTTTAATGGGCCTTAGTGTCCCTTTTACATTATATTGGGCTCAGGGTAGACATTCATATTCCTTTAGTGCCTGGAAATAATAGATGCGTATAGTGGGCTTTAGTGGTCCACTTACATGTTTATTGGGCCTGAGAATGAGTTTTATATGTGTTCTTCTTTCTTTTCCGTGTAAATTTTCATTAAGGATCTAGTGAGACCTGTCGGTTGGCACCTTTGAGTGTACAATCGTAGCCTGCAGTTATAACCAGAGTTTCCTGGAGGGAAAGCGGGAGTTTGTGTATGGATCTATACGGGGGTGACACCCCACACCTGAGCTGTTCGCTACAGTTAGACTAGGCCAGTCTAGGGTGACAAAAACCTTATTCTATTCCGGCGGCGTCCCAAAGACGCAAAGACAGGCGAAATTGTCATTATTTAGTATGGTTATAACGACTCATTTAGAGGAATTAACGTTGTAAGATTTACGGGAAACCATTCTAATTTGTTTTTGGGATAAAACAGGAAATCATTCTATTTTCTTTTTGGGATAAAACAGGAAACCATTCTATTTTCTTTTTGGGATAAAACAGGAAATCATTCTATTTTCTTTTTGGGATAAAACAAGAAATCATTCTATTTTCTTTTTGGGATAAAACAGGAAATCATTCTATTTTCTTTTTGGGATAAAACGGAAACCTTCTTTTTGATAAAACGACAATTTATAAGCACCGGTACTCAACCACCGGGGTTGAGATTCCAGCATCAGCTATCGCAGACAACATCGAGTTGTCTGGAAATCATTCTCTTTCTATTTTCGTAAACATTAACACACATGCATAAATATAAGATCAAACACAAATATTTCAAACCATTTCTTTTTAGAAAATATTGGATTTTTTGAAAGCACTATGAAAACGATTCTAAACAAGTACAAAAACCATTTTTATTCAAAACTGCTTATGAACTCACCAACTTTTTAGTTGACGCTTTTCAAAACGACTTGTATTCTCAGGGATCCAGTAACAGGTAGTAAGTTCGACTAGGAGATCAAGTGGTGCAACTTCAAGAAATTTTACTTTCCTACTTTTGTGTAACTGATGAACAAGTTCAATATGTAAACTATGTAAGTGTGTATTTCTAATGTATGATGTTTGGTTGCTATGCTTCATTTATATTCAATTGTTATGATACTGTACACGAAGTCATCCACCCCCGGACGTTTCCGCCGTCCAGGTTCGGGGGTGTGACATTACAAATAGATTCGTGGGCCAATATCTTCACTAGGTTTGATTTTCACCATGAATTTGACCCATATTTTTTCGTCAATCTCAAATAACTCCTTTTAAATCGTTAGGTTAAGGTGATTAATATTTGGAGCACATGTAAAGTTATCTCCTGGGGTGATTCTGACAACTGTTTGGTACTTGAGTTGAAACTGGGGAAGCAACAACATCTTGCTGATGGTGGGAACAATTGTTGGTCGTCCGGGAATAGATTCATTGTTCCAGTTGCAAGTTGCTATATCTGATGCATTCATGAGCGATCCTATCTAACATAACTTACTCGTAATCTTGGTGTGAGGATTTTTGAAGTGAGAATGCAGTTGAAGAAGGTAAAAGAAATGGGGAGAAGGAGTGAGTGCAAGACCTTTATTTAATTTAGGTTAAAGAGAAAGAGTTTTGAGTTTTGGTGAAAGATAGAAAGGAAAAATCCACGTGGATGATTTTAGTTGACCAAATGCCACGTGATATATCAAAATTCATGATTAGGATGGGGTTCACTGGGTGACCCCTTCATATATTTTGATAATGACATTTTAAAACGGTAAAACACAAGTATGTACCCCTAAAAGGAAAAAAGAAAAAAAAAAAACCCGCGAGAGACCTTTTAAACTAATATACTAACACATGGTTGGGCTACGGTGACAATAACCCTATTTATTTATTATTATTATTATTATTTTTTTGCAAAAAATAACATTTTTTTTGTTATTTTCTTAAAAATCAAATAAAAATATCATTAGTTTAGTTAATTACCCATAAAACAAATACCAACAAATATCATACATTAGGGATGTGCATTTGGACCGAGTACCCGAACCAAAATCGAAACCCAGACCGGACCGATCCAAATCAGGACCGAATAAGTTATTTGGGTCGGTTCTCGGACATCTATTTTAGCCCAATTCGGTTCTCGGGTTATTCGGTCCGGGTTACTAGAATAAAGGTTTAATCAAACCAAAAGGACTGATCCGAAAACTAAATAGTCACTTGATCGATCCCTCTTGGCTCTTGCGTATTGCTGATCGAAGTTTCACATCCCTACCCAATATTGATCGAATTAAAAAAAAAAAACTACTGAAATTGAACTCCATCATCACCCTAGCAGTCCATAATCGATACCTAATTGGATTGATTGATTCATCGTCGCTTCCAAATTGGATTGATTGAACTCCATCGGCCTTGCCATAAAAAAAAAACTTCTCGACTTCTTTTACTCCTCGCTTCCTACTGTGATCGAACACAAAAAGAACATCTACTGTGAAATCGAACTTCACTCTACTTTCATGAAATCGAACTCCATTCATCTTGGTTTATTTGAGTTATTCGGATCATTTCGGTTCAAAAGCATAATGTACATATTATTTCGTTCCTTTTGGGTTAATAACCGAACATAAATCCAAAATACCCGAACCGAACCGGTCCTGCATTAGCATATTCAGTCCGGATTTAGTTCCAACTTATCATCCAATTAAAGTTTCAGGTTATTCGGGTCCGGTTCCGATTAGTTCCGGCCCGAAATACATCCCTCCCATACATTGCTTTAATGCTTTTCATTAAAAAAAAAAAAGATAAAGGTTTTTGCATGGTTGTCAAAATCGCGATCCTGATCGTATGATCGTACGATCCTACGATCCTAGGTATGAAAAACGATCTGGATCGTAAAAGGATCGTATTTGGGGTAGAATCGCAGGTAGGATCGTAAGATCGTAGATAGGATCGTAGGATCGAGCTCCGATCCGATCCTACCTTCCCTTGATTTTTTTTACCAGTTTATGTCTTTTACCTTTTAGCAATTTACCATTTATCATTATTGTGGCTTATGACTAATATTTTGAAGTTTTTATAACTTTTGAACGAAAAATTAAATGTTTGAAATATTTTTCATGATTAAAAATTATAAATTAAAATTATATTTTATTTTGTGAGATATTGGGATCCGATCCCGATCTTGCAAACCCAAAAACCATAGTAGCATCCGACAACTTTTTGTTTAATATCGTGTTAATATTTTTCATTTACAAAGTGAACTCCTCTGTCTCCTCAGCACTTCGTCGCCGGTACCTCCAGCCGCCCCCCCCACCGCCGGTTCGTCTTCCCCACTGGCGCTCTCTCTCGTTCACCGGCTCGACAAGATATCCTTCTCCCTACTGTTCCACAGGTTTGATTTGTTTGATTCGTTTGCAATTTTGTTTGATATGTTTGATGTCCTGCATATGTACGATTGTTTGATTTATCGGAGCTGAAGGAAAATTAGTATGGTGACTTATTTGACTTTTATGTATATCGGGAAAATTGTTTGATTTATCACAACTGAAAGATAAGGAATGTTCTGACTTTCTGATTTACGTTAGGTCAGCTATATAATTAGGATTTAGTTGTTTGTGTTCATCTTTGGAGAATTACTAGTCATGTTGTGTATTTGTAAATTGTTTGTTTGGTAAAACAGAGACAGCCCCTTAGTAGCGTGATAGTGCAGCAGCCCAAGTTGCAGATATGGGGGAAGATGTTAAAGAGGCAGGAGTGATTGAGAACTTAAGGTCGGTGGTGTTCAAGGAATCAGAGAGTTTAGAAGGCAGCTGTGCTAAAATCCAGGGCTACGATTTCAACAATGGGATTGATTATTCACAGATTCTCAAATCCCTAATTTCCACCGGTTTCCAAGCTTCTAACCTCGGTGACGCCATTGAAACCGTTAATCAAATGGTAAGTGGTTCGTTCTCAGATTCTTTACCACCTTTTATTGTTTTTATCTTTTCGAATTAGGTTTTTCATGTTTGTATGATCTTGAGGCGTCCAATTTGTTGATTGTAGCTAGATTGGAGGCTTTCTCATGAGCAAGTAATCGAAGATTGCAGTGAGGAAGAGAGTAACCCAGCTTACAGAGAGTCTGTCAAGTGCAAAATCTTTCTAGGGTTCACTTCAAACCTCATTTCTTCTGGTGTTCGAGACATTATTCGCTATCTAACTCAGCATCATATGGTTAGTAATTTGCAACTTTCATGCTTATGAACAATTACACAAACATATCAGAGTTTTATTCTTTTACAAAATGTATGTACGTTTTAAATCCATGCAGGTTGATGTGATTGTGACAACAACTGGTGGCATTGAGGAAGATCTGATAAAATGTCTTGCAGACACATACAGAGGTGAATTTTCTCTACCTGGTGCTGCCTTACGCTCAAAAGGTCTTAATCGTATTGGTAATTTATTGGTGCCAAATGATAACTACTGTAAATTTGAGGATTGGATTATCCCAATATTTGACCAAATGCTTCAAGAACAAAATACACAGGTATTCATTGTATTTTCATTCAAGGTGTTGTTGATTTACATTTTTGTAATCTGTTATTTAGATACAAAATCCTTTCCATCATATAAATTTATACTCTATCCGCTTTGTGTTTAACAGCATGTGTTATGGACACCATCAAAAGTAATATCTCGTTTGGGGAAGGAGATTAATAATGAGAGTTCTTATCTATATTGGGCATATAAGGTAATCCCATGCCCACAGTTCTTTTTTTTGTTTTTTTCATGATCTCCTCTGATTTTGAATGCTAAACTTGTACCCAACAAAATTGTTATCTTCTTCCATGGTTTCAAAACATATCTACGTTTACCTTTTTTTTTAATATCTTCTTTCTGATAGTTTTTGGAGTTGGGTTACTATTATTATTATGCCATAACATGATTAGTTTTATTGTAGAACGACATTCCTGTGTTTTGCCCAGGCTTAACAGACGGGTCTCTTGGGGACATGTTATATTTCCATTCATTTCGCAATCCAGGTCTTGTTATTGATGTAGTACAAGGTGACATGCCAATTTTCTCTCATCTTGACTTTCTTCAATTATTATTATTATTATTATTATTATTATTATTACAATCATTTTACAGGTGTTATAATTTGTGAAAACTGATTAACAGATATACGCGCGATTAACAGCGAGGCTGTGCATGCAAACCCTAGAAAGACAGGGATGATAATTCTAGGAGGAGGGTTACCAAAACACCATATATGCAATGCAAATATGATGAGAAATGGTGCGGATTATGCTGTTTTCATCAACACTGCTCAGGAGTTTGATGGTAGTGATTCTGGTGCTCGTCCTGATGAAGCTGTCTCCTGGGGGAAAATACGTGGTTCTGCTAAATCTGTCAAGGTTTTTCATCAAAATAAATCCAATATTTTACTATTTTGGTGAAGTTTTTAATTTAAATGGTATTGAATTTGGTTTTGATCCAGGTGCATTGTGATGCAACTATTGCGTTCCCTTTACTCGTTGCAGAAACATTTGCTGCAAAGAGAGAGGGGGAGATGAAAAATGTTGAGTCAACCAAAGCTTTGGATTAAAAAGGTGGAACAGTGTAGGGCAGGGACTCATTTTTGATATTTTGTTTGCTAAAAAATGGTCTTTGGAAGAATATTAATGCACACAAACAAGGAGACCATGTTACTAATCTTGGAGAGTGTACATGTAAAATGTTTAAATAATTTTAAAGCTTCTCACGACAAATCAAACTTATATGCAATTTTTAATGGGGTTAAATGATTCATACAGTTACATTTGAAGTAATAATTTAATGCATGAACCTTTACTTATCGTCAAAAAAGCCCTTTTCATTATTTCCAGAGAAGAGATTTTCAATTTAGAGGCTCCTCTTCTGGACATAATAATAATAAAAAAAAAATCAGGTTTTTATTTTATTTTGTTTTATTTATTTTTTACTAAAGGTCCATATAAAAAAGAAAGAAAGAATGGAAATGGATCTACTTTGGTTTGCAATTATTGTAATGGAAGGGAAACACTAAGGTGTTTTAAGCTAGAGTAAATTACACAAATGGTCTCTATGGTTTGGGGTAATTTGCGCATTTGGTCCCTAACATATTTTTTTAACTTGGAAGGTCCCTACTGTTTGTTTTTATTACGTGTTTGGTCACTACTGTTTGTTTTTGTTATGCGTTTGGTCCATGTTTTACCTAAAAATACTATTATTTAAATAGGAAAAATGGTGGGGTAGGTAAGGTAATGTGAGAGAGGGGGTGGGGTGGGGTTGGGGTGTGTTTATTTAAATAAATTAAAAAATCAAGGGCAAAATAGTCTTTTTAGGTAAGACAGGGACCAAACGTATAACAAAAACAAACAATAAGAACCTTCCAAATTAAAAAAATAAGTTAGGGACCAAACGCGCAAATTACCCTAAACCATAGGGACCATTTATGTAATTTACTCTTTAAGCTAACTAGATTCTTTCAAGATTTTAAAGTTGAAAATGAAACAAAAAAATCAATTGCTAATAACAGTGTTTATGATATTATTGTGTGCTCCTTAGGTGAAGGTTAAGCTTCAATACATCTCTTTAGTGATCATATCTCCAAATTGTTAGGTTTAATAAACAATATACCCGTTGTTAAAGAAACTTCTGCCAACATTGAAAGTATAAATACTTTTGCTGATATGACATGTATCGATTTGTCTTCTTCAATTGTTGACTGAACTGCAACTCAACAAATGACATGTACTGATGATCGTTTGGAAAATATTATGAATGTCTCTGAGTTAAAAATGACCGTAGACCATCCCGTTGGGACCGACACCAAAATTTCAAAAACTGGCAAACTAAGGGTGCGTTTGGTTGTGGAAAATTTTCCAGTTTTCTAGGAAAATTTTCCAAGAAAAATGGAAATTTTGAAAACGCGTTTGGTTTGTTTAGTTTTCCAAAATTTTCCAAGAAAATGAAAATTTTCAGTTTTCCAAATTGTATGTAATTAGAAAAGTGATTTTTACAGTTTTCCAAATTTCTAAGATGGAAAATGAAAACTCCCCCGGTTTCAACAAAACGCGTTTTCTAAAATTTTCATTGAAAATTGAAAATGAAAACTCAACTCTATTTTCTGAAAAGTTTCGGGCATGTTGGCAAATGTGCTAGTTGTGCCTGATTACAATGTTCATTTTCTTTCTGTCCATAAATTAACCCAAGATAGGAGGAGGCTAGGGATTTACTTTGATTAAAACAATTGTTCTTTATAGGATCTACGAGTAAAACAGAGATTGATAGAGTCCGGTGGTCTGTATTTTTCAAATAACTACATGCTGAGTAATTCAAATAATTGTTCTACGTAATCTTTCTTTGTGTCTATCAGTCTATGTTTGTATGACACAACAGACTCAGTCATCCCGCTGACCAAGTCATGTTTTAAAAGAAACCTTAGTGTATGATAGTGGTGATGTCATTCCTTATGACATTTTTCATAGTGCTAAGCAAACCTATGAGACCTTTCTGGCCAATGAACATAAAACGTCAAATCCAATTGACTTTGTACACCTTGATGTGTGAGTTAGTATATAGTCTTTTACTGAGGAAGAGTTCATATTTTTTGTCTCAGAGCCGTTGATAACTTTACAAGAGTAGTTTGAATTTTTCGATTAAATTAAAGGAAAGTATAAAGTTTTCCTATTAAAATGGAAATGATGATGTTTTTGAAAACTTAGTTGCTTGATAAAACAACAATTTTCAAAATTTGTTAAAAGTTTTCGTTGCAAAGGAAAGTTATGAATTTGTAAAATTCTAAATCAAACTGTTTTTTTTAAAGCGGGCATTATTCACTACACGTCATATATTTCCGTTCCATTAAAAATAGTGTTTTAAAAGGAAAACACAAACATCATGAATATGACCGTATCCTTATTTGACATGGGGATGGTTAGGAGTGTAATGTTCTAAATCAACCTTTCTAAGCAAATTTGAAAGGCAAATCACTTTTCCAAATGATTTATAAAAGAAGACATAATATTAATTTTAATTTTATAAGGTCTTTGGTTGTTTGGTTTTTTCTACAAGACGAAAACATATTTGATAAGCTTTCTTTAAGATCAGACAAATGTATTCTGATCGATTATTCTAATATTAGAAAAGTTAAAACTTCTAAGTCTTTATAATAATCTTGTTTTCTTTTCCATAAGTGTGAAGTTTTGTGAATTCGTTTTTCATTTCAAATGGGTTTGATGGTTACAACTAATGATTACATAAATCATATAAACAGTTTTCTGAGAATATGTATCAAAAGAGTACATGTAAAATAAGTCCTTGTAATTGTAATGACACCTTTTAGATTCAATTTCTATCCAAATGGTCGTATGATGAGAAATAGCATTGCGATAAAGAACTATGTGCTTAAAATTTTCATGTAGTCATTTTAGGTTTTACATCTAAGGGAAATCTATAAAAAAATCCTTAACTTTAACTCTATTAACGATAAAACAATGCTTGTTTTTTAACGATTAAGCTTAGGGTATTGGCTAATGTTTGCAAAACGTGTCTCATACCCGGTTACCACTTACGTAACCGGTTCCTTGGCTAACGTGGATAAAATGTTATGAATACTAACATAAATTATTATTATTATTATTATTATTATTATAAATGAGTTGAAGGGCACACTTTGTTGGTCAAATCCTCGAATTGGTCCATGTTTGTTGGAGCATTGATTATTAAATATGGCTTAGTGAGTGTAATGAAGCGTAAGGGTAAGAGTGAAGAGAATAATTTCGTTGACAATGACCATGAAAAGGAAGAATTGGATATTAACAATTGACGTTGAAGACAAAGACAATTTCATAATCGAACCACCAACTAGATGCAAAGACGTGTTCCTTAACACACTCTATGGAGATGCTAATGATTACATTCCTAAAGAAGAAGTCTTGGAAGAGGAAGGTGGACTTAGGGTTGAATATTTCACCCAAGATTCCTTTGTGAAGTAGAATAAGATGTAACCTCTACATGGAGAAAGGTATGAATCACCTAACCAATTGAAACTTTGTTTAAGAAATTATGCCATTAGTAATGAGTACTGGCCAGATATATGATAATGTGATAATGACGGTTAGATGTGGGAAGAAAGGTGAGGAAAAACAGTGACCCTTCAGAATTTGGGCGTGAGTAAAAAGAGGTCCTTTCAAATTAAAACCATGGTTGATGAGCATAAGTGTGTTAGGTCCTCGGATAATGCTCCATTTATGAATCCAACATGGATTGGAAGGAAATTTTGAAAGAGTTGATAAAAAAATAAAACCTGAAATGTAAAAAGATGCAAACTATGATACAAAGTAAATTTCATTATCAAATATCTTAGTCAAAGTGGTATAGAGCTAGGTGCAGTGCAATGTCTCTCATAGAATGAAAATTATGTGATCACTATGCAAGAGTCTGGGATTATGCACATAAATTGATAAGATTCAATCCAGGTAATATAATTAAAGTTACTTTGAGTGTCAACCCTGATAACAACATATATTTTCACTAAATTTACATATGTTTTACAACACTTAAAGGCGGTTAAAGAAGAGCTTGTCGTAGGGTAATTAGGCTTGATAGCCGTTTTCTAAATTGATAGTGTAAAGGAGAACTCCAAACTGCAATAGGGAGAGATGCCAACAACTAATTTTCATCCCATAGGTTTTTTATGGACATTGAAAATAAGACAAAATGGGTGAAAGGTGTTTATGTATTATTGCTGATCAACATAAGGTACTTTCCAAATATATTATTATATTTAAAAGTTATTTGGTTATAGTAGCTAATTAATATATATATATATATATATATATATATATATATATATATGTGTGTGTGTGTGTGTGTGTGTGTGTAATGTAGGAGCTGCTTGAATCAACAAAAGATATATTGCCATATGTGGAGCACATGCAGTGTGCTAAGCATATATATATGCCTACTTCAGGAAGGTTTATAGTTAAGTTCACAAAATCGATTAAACATTTGTTTCAAAAACCATTGAATAACATTTGATTGATTGAAAACCACACATTATCAGAGTTAAGTTCAAAAACCTTGGAAACGAATATCTTTGATGTGCGTGTACAGTCTCGCCGAGCTCTTCTCACGAACGACCTGCAAAATGTTTAATTTACAACTGTAAGCGTAAAGCTTAGTGAGTTCCCCAGTATAACACATTGTTAGATGCCATTTTATGCATTTTTATAGGAGTTTTTATTAGTGTTTTGCATTATATTTTATGCATTTATGTCTGCATTAGTTTAAATAATGTTCAGCTCGTGTTTATTGCTAGAATTCCCGTACTGATCATGTTTTTATGTCTTTTTTAGATATTTCAATTGGAGCAGAGTTTTGGAAGCAGCTTGGATGCATGTTTGGAGCTTCATGGAGCTAAAATACCTGAGGGAGCTGGAGGTTGGTTCAGATTTGCTTAAACTGAAGAGTTCACGTCCGAAATGCACGTTTTCGAGTTTACACGATCGTGTTTTTCACCATGAGTTTGTGTTTTTGGTTGTGGTTCATCTTTATAACTTTTCCAGGCCAAAAGTTAAGTTTCAGGACCCCATAGCACAAACACGATCGTGTTTTTGAGTTTTATGTCTGATATAGCAACATACTTCATTAAACGGAGAATTCGGGACTTCGGAGAAAAACACTATCAAAATGATCGTGTTTTTCACAAAAGCACTATCTTGTTTTTTGAAAATTTTCGTTTGATGCTTCTGGCTTGCGTATAAATACTCCCTAT